CCCAAAACCCCAAAACCCCAAAACCCCAAAACCCCAAAACCCCAAAACCCCGGAAGTGTTAAATTTGAGGGCTAGAGTAAATAAATATAGTGGATTAGATTCATAGAGTTTTTATGAGCAAAGTAGATATATTAAAGTGCGAGGAAATTTAAATATATATATATAGACTTTTTAACATTTTTTTTGATTGATCTTTTAAGAAAATTAGGTTAGTACTATGATATCTTAAGGGACTGTAGTTTATTTATCAGACTAAAAGCAAAGCTTAATTGCCATTAGTAACAGCTCATATAGCGAATCCGACTCCACCTTGATGAACTGCACCACCACCTGATTGAACGCTTGGTGGGCATACTGAGGCAGTAAGACATTCTTGGCCAGCTCCGAGTCCACCTTGAGCGTTGTTAGTTTGACAAATGGTGCTCTTCTCTGATTGACCCTAACTGTTCTCTCTTGCTTGTCCAGACTCGATCTTTCTAAGAGTCTCCAAGACTGAGATAGATCCTGAAATAACGAAGGTTCTGTTCTTTGCTTCATTCTAGTATGCAGCATGAGCTTCCTCTTCACAAGCACAGCAGTTTGATTGGCAGATTTGAGAGTATTGGGTATCTGGGATTTGAGTCAAGAGGGATTACTGGAGAGCTAAAGCTTCCTATGAGAATCCAGTGTTGGTACCAGCACCAAGACCTGGTAGCTGAGTGAAGTTCACCATTTTTATTTCTATCTACATTACTTAAGCTTGATATATTTTTAAATTGCATGGGCACTCTGGAAGTTCAATGTCGGGGATCTAACCTAAGTTGCTTAAATCGCAGTTCCAGTCACCACCAACATCTCCTCCGAGACTTCCACCTCCGGCGTTTTGAGCAAGGTTTTTGGCGTTCATTTAACCGAGTTTCTTCTAGATGTTTGTAGCAGCGAAGGTTCCTGCGATAAGGGCCATAAGGATAACAGCTTTGGATGTCATAGTTTAAATTATTCTTCGATTTGATTATATTTGTATTAGGAGAACATACTATTTATACAAAAACCTCGTTACTATTCTCGGCAACTATAATTTGTAAGAAATCTAACCAGTAAATTAGCTTACTCCCATGCTACAGTGTTAGAATATTGACACATTTCCGTATGCTGAATTAAAGTTTGTACTCAAATGTGAGGGCTAACAATATTATGGAACATGTGAAGATATTCAGTAGACCAGTTAAACGCAGTTTCTTATAATGGGCTGTTCAAAGACAAACACTTTCAAATATACAACGCAGAGTAATTTTAAATTAGATTAAAGAATCCAGTTAAAATTAGCGAATCAATTAATTAATCTTCTAACAGTAGTTACTTACTACCATCGGGGTTTTGGGGTTTTGGGGTTTTGGGGTTTTGGGGTTTTGGGGTTTTGG